AGCTCACAGAACAGGCAAAGCAACACAGATGGTCCGTTTAGGGGTGGTCCTGTGGAACCTTACCAAAGAAAACCCCAGTTTATGCTCTGTTTAGATCTGTAAACCATCCTTCACTCACAGAAGCAACTGTCACCATTAGCAGGAAACTGTTCTTTAGCCACTTCAAACTGTACAAGCTATGCATGCAGCCTTCCCAGGAGACACGCAGGCATCCTCATTTGAAAACTTTTGCTTCCTTTCTATGTCTATGTTTACTCATTCTGTTGATTCAGACTATCCATCCAGTGAGCAGGGATAACATCTAATTATATTTTCCCCTGGACATTAACATGTCGTCAGTGCCTAGCAAGTAAGAAAAATAATAATGCCCTGTGCTTCCTTTTTTTTCACATCAGGACATCATCTGCAAAAAGAGACTTCTGAAGGGTGAGTGTGGTCAATTGAAAGTATAGGGCTGGCCAGAGAGCTCAGGGCTGGCTGGATAGCTCAGTGGACTAAAGCGCCTACTTAGGCAGGTGCAGCAACCAGGGTTCCATCCCCAGTGTACCATGCTGGCCTGGCCCTTGGGACACAGTGAGCAGGCGACTGAGACTAGGTGTGGTGGTGCATGCCTATAATCCCAGTGTTTGGGAGACTGAAAACAGGAGGATCACTATAAGTCCAATCTGTGTAATGAGACCCTGTAGACCCTGTACTAAAAGTACAAAACAAGAGAATATTTATATCATAAATATATATGTATATGTATTCTCTGCCCTTATATACAAAGGCTCAACCTGTTAAGTAGGGCACACAGCTATGAGGCACTAACCTGCTTATTTTGGTTTTGTCCCTATTTCAGAGGACTAACATTAGTTTCATAAGGAAAAAGTCATAGCAAAAACTGCTCCCCAAAATATGCTCTCACCACCACAGACTGTCACTTAGGAACACTCCCTCATAATCTTATGGTCCCAGACGTTTCAGAACATCCTAGAGTCCAAATTCCCACTCCTTACCCATGCTTTCACCATGGCTCTCCCTGACACATGCCTCCCAGTCCACGGCACAAAGCTCTTCAGTCCTCCCTGGAGATACCAAGACACTCCTTCTAGCACCCTAAACTCAGCTCATCCACTAAGATCTAGGTAAATCACAGTATTCCCCAACAAGCTTTTTTTTCTCTTATAAACTTAATTTTTGATTGCTATATACTCACTTGTACTATGCAATAATTTCAATCATAACAGACACTAATACATATGCACAACCCACCACAATTCTTTCATCCCTCTGTTCCACTCTCCCTCCCACTATCTCTTGGTTACCTTCCTTTTTGCAAAAGGTCAGTCTCCCTGTTTCCTAATATCTATCTTTTATTTTTCATTTTGTCTTACTTATTTATACATTGAGATTCTCTTATAAGAGAGGCTAATATTTAAGTTGTGTGTTTAATTTATTTCACTTAACAGCATAGTCTCAAAGTACATCTTTCTCTACAAACCACTCAACTTTACCTTTCCCTAGGGCAGAGTAGTACTCAATTCTGTATAAGTAACATATTTTCTTCATCCATTCATCTGTTAGTACACATATAAACTAAACTGCTCCAAGATTGCACTATTGTGAGATATGCCACTATAAACATGGGTATGCACCTATGACTGTCATATGACGTCCTTAACTCCTTCAGGAAGCTACCTAAAAGGGGAATAGTTGGATCATGGACTTTCTATATTTAAGTTTGAAGGAATCACTATACTGATTTCCATAATAGTTTAATAGTTCACTATTTTACACTCTCACCAGCAATGTAGAAGAATTCCTTTTTTCCCAGCAGCCTCAGCAACATTTGTTATTATTTTATTTATTAATGACTGTCATTCTTTTTGGAGCAAGATGGAGTATCGGTATTGTTTTAGTTCACGTTTCTGCACCAAACCTTTCCTGATCATAGTAGTCCCATCCCTATTTAATGAGAATTACTTTATCCACTCTTTCTAAAATAAGGTAGACTATGAGTGCTGCTTTACTTTGCAGTTCTCTAGCAAACCTTTCCTGATCATAATAGTCCTCTCGCTATTAATAGGAATCACTTAATATCATTATGATGACTCACTCTGGAATTTGAAAAACAGCAAGATCTATGAAGTTAGCAGCACAATGTGGCATACATCAGGAAGCCGAAGGGACAAAACAATTAACATTTGGTTTGTGTCAAAGTAAAGTGGCAGCTGCAGAAGCAGAAAGCAAAGTTCCTCAGATCAACTCAACACAGGTACTTTTGCCACATCTGTGAGTTTTTTTCTTTTAATGACATTGATGAGTTTCTTGCCTGCAGAAATCATTTCTGATATGGGCTGAGAATCCTCTATAACAAGTAATACCAATATTTTCTGAACATACAGAAAATACAGTCAATTCTCACTGATTTGCTCCACGGGGAAGCTGACATTATTGTCAGGTTGAACTCAAGAGTACAATCAGACTGAAACAACAGATTAGTAACAGAGCATTGGTAGTGAGTCTGACCGTATTCTCAATGAGCTGGACCAGATTTCAACTTCGTGGAGAGAGCTATCCTACGTGTAGTGTCAGCAGCGGGGATATATGTGGAGGGAAAGGGCAGACGAACAGAATCAGAGTCAGACTTCCAATCAAGTCTAAATGAAGAGATTGAACTACAGCAGTGTCCCTACCAAGCTGGTACACAAGAGATGCAAAGAGGCAAAAGATACAAAAGAGGATGTTGTGGCAACTGGGTTGTTTGCATGCCCTCCGCAGTTTTATAGGACGACCACACAAGCCATGTCTCATGGAAAGCAACGCGCATCTCTGTGGGAGGCAGAGAAGGAAGCACCACTCTGAGTCCTTTGCCTGCTTAATAGGAATTACTTAATGCTGCCAGCTGACACACAGCGCTGTTCATTGCAGATGTAAGGTCATTGCTTTATCTTCTCTGTCCCATCTGTGCTGTATTACCCTCACTAACACAGTCTCCAAAGAACTAGATTATGCCACAGCAAAGGTACCAGATGTCAACAGGAAAAGTTGAAATCAAGTAACAAAGTTCTTAATTGATCCCCTTTAAAAATTTTTATTGTTGTTGTCACTGTTCCAATGTTTCTTTTCTAGTTCAGATAGCAATGAAGTACTAGACAATGCCACCAGCATTTTTCATAACACAATCATCCCTTCCAGAAATGCTAATTAAACACCTCTACTATGTAGACATTGCTCCAGAAATTATGGAGAACAAATAAATATAACTGCCTCTGCTCTTAAGAATGCGGAAAGATAATTAAAAATTAACAGAAATAGCTCAGAAAGAACTAATAGAGAGCCACGTAATTTCTGATCAGGGACCAATTCTTCCAATATTTCCCTGGGGATTTAATATTAATAAAACCATAGGGATTATAAAACAATACCCACATAAAACAAAATGTTGGTTACTTTCCAAAAATTGGACATACTTTCTTTTAGAAAATTTCCCCCTTACTTTTTCCAACACTTATTTGCCTCTTGACAAAAGAATAGTGGGTACCTTCCTCATATGCATTCTCCATATCTGTGGACTCAATGCACCAATAAAAGCATTTGAAGAAAATCCAGGAAGCTTCAAAAAGCAATACTTGAGTTTGCCACAAAGTAATGTTATGCTGAACCCATGCAAATGAAGTGATGTGTGGGCACCGTCCTAGGTGTTGTGAGTGATATAGAGATGGTTTAATGGGCACGGGAGGCTGTGTAGAGTCTCTGTTAACACTACAGCATTTATACCAAGGATTTAAATTTCTGTATATTTTGGAAGACTTTTGGTCTTGGCACCAATCCCCTGTGGATACTGCAGGATGAGTGCATTAATTTTCTGACAAATGCTTATTTTAAAAATACTCTCTGAAGAGCGAGTTTTATTTTCTTTCACCACAACCTTGCTGCAAAAGAATTAGCAAGGCTAATAATATAGTTTTGCATGTTTGGAAGACATTACAGTTTCCAAAACATTTCAACAAACACTAGCAGAATAATAGATCTCATTCGGTTGCCACGAAACCCTGAGGAGCAGGCAGGGGCAGTTTATTGCTGTTGTGGCTGTGTATGCATGTGTTGTTATTATTACGATTTTCATGATGCACAGGAAAATCTGAGGCCGGAAGAGTCTTGTGAGTGACAGTGACAACTGGCATCTGTTAGACTCGTCAGACAAAAAAGAAAATTGCTGGCTAGGCCCTGCAATCTAAAATTTCTTACAAGTTATTACACTTGAAAACACATATTCCTCCAGTATACATGCCCTGAAAATGGAACCCTCCCCCGCTCCCTGCAGCACAAAGCCCTGAGATCCCCAGCTCCCTTCCTCCACCTTCAACTTGTTCCCTCCTGGGCTGTTGTGTGCTTCTTCTCACACGCCTCGCCAGCAGAGGAGCAAACCTAAGCCACCTGTGCTTCTGCCCTGAGGAACCAAAGCCCCTGAATTATGTCCTTCACAAGTGTCTGCTAGGTAAGACATTGTTGGGATTCTGCAAGGGACATCTCCATTCCAAGGAACACTGAATTTAGGGCATTAGCCTTCAGGGAGTGGTTGTCTGCGGGGATAAGGGATCCATGCCGCTGAGTCCCTCACTCCACGGCCCCTCGCTCCACGAATAAGGCTTATGAACTCATCCTCAGGTTCACGTGATAGAGAGGCTGAACCAGTGCAACCTGCCCTTATCCTTGAAGGTAACTTCAAGGACAATGATGCTAGAACAAGCAGAGAAAGCCCATTGAGTGTTTGAGGGGCTTCAATACACATTTTAAAAATAAAAAATGTGTGAAGCAACCAGGGACTGAGAACGGTGCTCCTGACCCGCACTCTCTGCCCACACACTCATTTGCTGTTTGCCTTTGCACTGCCTAGACTCACTCATTGTGATGCTGAAAATGTGCCCAAGTCCTGAGGGAGCCTCAGTGACCCATGTCCAGGACTGGGGCAGTTCCTTGTGCCCCTCGGACCAATGGGTGGGTGACACCCTTACCTCGTAGTGGGCCACACGCTGGGATTCTGATATCAGTTGTGCGCTGCACACCTTGCAGTAACTGTCTGTAAACAAATCCTGATCGATATCGGAGGACTTCATCAGGCTAAAGGAGAATCAAGAGAGAGGAGAAGAAAGTGAGTCCACTGCTTTGCTGGGATTAAGTCACAAGTGCAATGACAGTACCAGCGGGGCAGGTCTAGCCAGACTGGACGTTACCAGAGCAATTGGCCACACTAAGCATGCACTCTGTAGTTTTCTCATGAATGATCCTGGCACCCTAAAAAACATGAAAATCCAGCTTTAGTTTTTCTGTTTGTAGAACCTGACTTGCATCTAATACTTTATCAAGGATTTATGAGAGTTTATACATGTGATGTATGTTAAGAAAGCATTTGAAAGCACCAACAGGAAATATTCTCAAGCACCAGTAGGAATGATAGAGCAAAAGGAAGCAGGACCAAAATGTCTGATACATCAACATGCTGCAATACAATGTTTTTCCAAGTGGTAATCTAATCAAGTCCCTCCTTAAGAGAATATTTAGTGAAACAGAAAAAGAAGCTTATGAGCAATATGACAGTATTATACTGAATGTTTTAATATCCATATTTATGCACATAGAAAAACATTCTGAGGTATTTTCACAAAATTTTAATAACAGTTATCATTCAAAGACTGTAGGTAATTGCTTTTATAACTTACTTCTTTAAATTCCCATAATATCTATTTATTGCTTTTTAGTCAAAGAATAAGTTATCATAGTCAAAAACCCTATAAGCTACAGAAAAACTAGGATTTAGTTCAATAGCTATCTAGTGCTTATAAAAATTTTAAAAGTCAAACCCAACTACAAATATTCTTGCTGCCTCATGACTTATAACACGAGGCAACTTTGTCACTCATGCTGACTTCTGCATTTAGGGTTACTGGAATCCATGAAAGCCACTTTCACCAATCCACACAACAAACAAGCCCATGAAAGTAAATAAGTGTATCTGCCAATTCCAAAGCCTACATCAAAATGCGTCCAAGGATCTCAGGCCTGCGAAATTGACCTGTCAGAAACGTGTGGCATCAGCCAAAGGATCATGTCACCATGCAGACACGTGCCAGTGCATCAGGATGCCTGAGGTCTGCTGCTCTCTACCCAGCACCTCCAGGTACAAAGGAAGGGCTGTGTAGACCGCAAGCTATGCAGGACAAGAGAACCCCAGAAAACTGCAATGTGCTATGCACACTAGAGTTCGTCTTACCCGCAGGACTATACCAAATTGCGTTGCTTGTTATCAGGATGGCCAGTAAAGCTAACTTGCATAATTCCACTTTTCACACAGCAAGTCCATCCCAGATTGAATATCCAAGTCTCATTTTTCCCTCATAAAAATGGAAACAAAGAGCAAGGCAAATAGCTCAGCAGATTAAAGTGCCTGCAAGCAGGTGCAGGGGCAGGGGTTCAATCCCCAGGCCTGCCATGCCGGCCCTGTCCCCAAGGCATGCTGAGACAGCAATTGAGACGGGGTGTGGTGGTGCGTGCCTGTGATCCCAGTTCTTGGGAGCCTGTAAATAGGCAGATCACTGTGAGTCTGATCTAGTAGTGAGACCCTGAACACCCTGTAGACCCTTCTTCCCTAAAATACTAAAATAAAATAAAATAAAAATAAAAATGGAAATGATATTTACCTTGCCTTCTTAGAGATTGTGGTGAAGATCAAAGAAAGAAAGAAAGACAGACAGACAGATAGAAAGAAAGAAAAGGGGAGAGCATGCGTAGACCGTGGTGAACACCGAGTGGCCAACCACCAAGCCACAGCATCTGAGCAACACCTGCAGGCTTCCAGTTAACCTCCTTCATATGACTAATCCACAGATGGTGGAGGCTGCCCCAAGGTCACACAGCCACCTAGAAGATCGCCATCAACACAAATCTTCCTATTTTCAAGCTAAAGGAATCTACTCTAGAGGAAGATACAGAGGCTTTGAGTGGCTACAAGAGAGCAAGATTGTGTTTCCCTTGCCCCTTTGGGTAGTATTTTTGTGTCAGCTTCCTTTTAAAGGAGATGATGGAGTATTTGACAACAACATTACAGAGGAAAGCAAGCAAGGGCTGGAGCGCTTTATAAGTATGGTCAGTGGTCATCCTCCAGCACAGAATGAATGTCGTCTTCACGTGTTTTTAGCAGATGAAAAAGTAGATAAGACCTATACTCCACCTAACCTAAGACATGCTTGAAATTTGGCAAGAGGCCAAAATGTAAGCATTAATGATTTAGATGTACCTGCGAAGACATTCTAGCTTTCCTGTATCGTGCTGTGCAGAAACTGGTATAACATGCCTTGAGTATATTAACACGCATGTGCTTGGTTCTGTTTGGTTACTGACACGTTAATTTGCTTTAGTGAAAATTTCTTATTCCAGCCTCCATATAAATATCTATTCCTTGCTGTTTTAATGTGATATATACACTATAATCTCACAAAGATTACCATATAATCTGCAGCATCCTTACTAAAGTTTCTTTCATTTACTTTTTTTTTTGTACTAAGAATTAAACACAAGACCTCACACTTGTCAGGAGTTACTAAAGTAGCTGACTTTTTTCATATTTTTTTAAATAAGAAAAAGAGAGGGAGAAAGAGATATAGTTCTTATGAACTATAAGACTCTCTGCATTTGTGAGAGATCATTATCATATTTCAATAGTATCCTTATTTTAATAAAAATGTTGACCAATTCTGAAGCAATGCAAAAAATTAATCATGAGTGGTCGATCTATTTTAAGTGATTTGTAAACCATCTAAATAGCTAAGCTCTGTAAGTAAAGAACCTGCCAGAAAGAAAAAACTACCTGCCTCAACAACTGGAAACTCGCTGTCTGCCTTTGACCTTGATTCTAACGACCCATTCAAGTAATTCTCAGTAATTTAAAAGCATTCAGTTTCTGTCTCTTTTTTCACTATCTAGAGCAACCAACAGTCATTGCAGATACTAAAGACCACCAAATCTCCCAGCTGATGTGCACCTATTATGCAGACATCATTCCTAGCAAATGGTTCTGTTGGCCTGGAGAGCAGCACCTGAAGGACTTGGGGGTTCACTCCCTCACAAGGCAAGCCATCTCAGAGAGACTAGACACACTGGGTTTTAGGTTTTCCTTGAGATGAATCAAGGATGCCCCACTGTAGCTTTCATTCATTGTTTGTCTTAAGTACACCTCAGAACGGTTCTGTTCTTACTGCGGGCCAGTGGTGCAATGGATAACGTGTCTGACTACAGATCAGAAGATTCTACAGCAGTTCTGTTCTTTCCTTTTCATAAGATTCCCACCATCGATGTTTTTGGAGACAACGCTTTCCCACTTGCTTCCAAGCCCTATCATTACTCATCATCATGGCTGCATCTATTGCACTACCCTCCATCCTCACCAAGAGCAGAATGAGGCACCCGGAGATAATATACGTGGGGCAGAGGATCACAAATCCAACTGACCATATTGGAACACCAGCTGTCATCTGAAATGGTCTTATTTGGATCCCAGAATAAAAATGGAGAGTAGTTTTGATGATGGGAAAATGTAGTACAACATTTTAAAGTACCAAACAGGAAAAAAGAATTTAGTAAGGTGTATTTTAAAACTCAGTTCCTATAAGTGGTTACGTTTAAACATGGTCATGTTCCCTGCTATTTCTAATGAAGAAGCACACTAAGATAGATCTGTGAGTGACCTGCTTAATAGGAATCTCCAGAATCGCTGCTGCACACTCCTTCCTCATTACACAACCAACTGCAGAAATCAAGCACTGGGAAAAGATATTCAAGGTACAATTTGGACCAAGCAGGGCTGTAGGAGTCTGTGTCTTGGTGAAGCAGCTGTGCAGCAGAAATAGCTTTAAAGGCAGAATATAAAATGTGTATCCTAAAAAAATTCAAAGGCAGAGAAAATACCATGGCTTATTTCACTGTTTTATATAAGAATATTGATTTGAGTGAGTCCATAGGCAATATAAAAGGCAATGAAGACCCTTCTGAGTCTAGGAGACCTGAGTGAAATACCTGAATAACTTAAATTCCAGTGGGAGACAATTAGTGGACAAGTATCAGGCTGGCTTATACATGACACAAAAAAGAGAACTCTCTGTGTAAGGCAGGTTAGATAGCCAGAGCATCTGATTTATGACTCAAAGGCAGGAATTCCTGAGGGAAAGCTGCCACTTGACCCTAACCTTTGATTTGTTTGGAATAGGATTCTCAGCTTTCCTGGCCTTCAGCACAAGTATTGTGGTAAGAAACAGACAGCAGAAGAAACAACCCTCCCTGGCCCTGTCTATGGTCCTCAAAGGCCTAGTGCTCACCAGCAGCAGGAGTAGGAATGGAAAAGTGGGTCCCTTGCTGGTCAGCCCATGAAGCACCATCAGAGCCGTGTGTGGTGACCTCCACTTTGGACGCTCCTGCGCAGTCATGCTTCCTCATTGCTGCCTAAGCCCAGCATGTCCGAAGGCACAACCACTAATCATAAATGACCTCTCCATTGCTCTTTAGCATTCACACCACTTGTAATATAGTAAAGAGGCCCAAACAGAGGTGGCAGCCATATCAGATTCTGATCAGATGCTCCTTTGCTGTGTCAGGTGTATATACTCTAACAAACCTACTTACACAGGTAGCAGGGAAATCCAAAATCTGAAACACAGCTACATATAATAAACAAAAGGAAATATTGGAAGAGGACTTTTAGTTATTCCATAATGGCTGTCAAGAGTGTAGTATGTGTGTGGCACTGAGATACCAGAAGATGCAGCACTGCCTCCAAACACTCTAGCAGAGTGGGAGAAAAGAGACACATTATACCAGCACCTGAGACTCAGGTGTGAGTGTAATTTGGCTGAAAAAAGTGTTCAGAGCATTTCTGCCAACAGAGAAACTTATCAAAAAACTCTACTAGCTGTTGCTTATGAGTTGAAAATTGGAAGATGATTAGGATAGGAGTGGAGTGAAAGAGGTTCCAAGTCAGAAGCTAATTCTTTTCCCTGGCACAAAGAGAAACATTACTGCCAGCAGACATAAGACATCCAGGAGGAGCTGTGGCAGGGGCTAATTTTGGAAAA